ACCGACAGGACACTTCTACCTCCCAAGGCTAGTGGTTGCTCAGAAGGGCAAGTCGCCCTTCCCAACATCTCTCGTTTGAATACATGAAAATGAGAGTTGCTTTTGGCAAGGAGATGCTGGCTGTCACGGCCAGAGACGGTTTTGTCGCCCGCGGGCGAGGCCGGGTGGGAAGTATCTCCGGCTCTGGCATCCGGCTGCGGGCGAGCCAGGCCCTCGCCTCGGATCGCTCAGAAACCTGGCAGCGGCTCCAGGAGCAGTAGGGGAAGGGACACACCCAGTGGTAAAAGAATTGGGATTCAAATGTTACATTAAAATTTTTTCAGTAAAGTGAAAGCCCTAGATGTGCATATGTGTTGAGCCACACACACAGAAACACCGGCCAGGACTGCGGCCGGAAAACTTAGACTTCCCCGCACGTAACAGACAAGACAGGTTAAGGCGGTACCGTGGCCCCTACCTACTGAGGGTCGGACGTCTTGTGAATTGTGAAGTAATGTCTTAATTAATGACGATAGAAGGAAGGGCAGAGGAAGGACGGAAAGAAACAAAAGTAAAGGAGAAGAAAAGAGAGGCAGCCACGTAACAGGAGCTCGGTGCTTCTCTTCTGCCCTTCTGCGCCTCGCACTGGTCCGGGCAGCGGCCGGACTGGAAGGCCGCGCCTCCGGCCGTTGTGGGCGCAAGGCTGACCGCAGGAGCGGGGGTCCGCCCTCTCGCTGGCCCTTTCCCAGCTCCGGCACACACCTCTGTACTCGAAGGCCAGGCACAAGCAAGGGCAAACGTTGCTTGCAGCGTCCCAGGCCTTCGTCAGTCCTAAACAGACCCGGGTCCCGGTCCCGGGCGACTTTGAACCGCGAGAAAGACGACAGGTCTTAGTTTCTTAGTCTGATTCTCCCCGGGAGGTGGAGGATTTAAGCTTCTTATCCGGGTGGCGGGTGGGAGCCTGCAGAGGAGCAGGAACCACTCTGCAGCGAGCGTGGCTGGGCCCACGGCCGCGGCCGAGATCTGGCTGAGACTCGTCGGGGGGAGGGTTGGAGGAGAAAGGGGACAGACTTTTTGACCACGCCGCCCCGGCCCTGCTCTCTGCCCACCCGGCTAAACGATCCCGCTGAACAGGTAGGACCTAGTGCCACCAAAGGCAGCCAGCTGGGCCCGAGACACGAGCCCCCGGCCTTTGCTTCCTTCTCTCGCCGTCGTCACCCTCTGCTTCTCCCTGCCCCGGTGAAGATCTGCGGAACGGGCTCCCAGCCACGTTACGCTGGGAAAGCGAGGCAGAGATGACCGAGTTTGGCGGGTGGACCACGTGCCGCCGGCTCCCTTGGCCTTACTGCGCGGGGAGCGGACCCCAAGGGCTTAGGAGGCGCAGCTTCCGCGACGGGCGGGGCCCCTTCCTCCTTCCTCAGTCACCTGGAGTACCCGCGCACCTCAACGTCTTGAGTGCCCCGACTCCCTCCATCTAAGGAGGCTGCCCTCCCCGCTACCTGGGCCAGTCGAGGCTCGCGCTATTCGCCCTGGTCCAAGAAAGTTTAGCTCGGGATGCCCCAGGAGCCGCCATGTGGCTGCCCTCGGGGCTCCCTTGCCTCGAGTTCCCCCCCACCGCTACCTGGGCCAGTCGAGGCTCGCGCTATTCGCCCTGGTCCAAGAAAGTTTAGCTCGGGATGCCCCAGGAGCCGCCAGGTGGATGCCCTCGGGGCTCCCTTGCCTCGAGTTCCCCCCCCCCCCCGCCCCGCCGCCAGCCTCGCCGATGCTGAAGGAAGGTCTGGTTCCCCGGAAAGCGCAGCAGTCTTCTGCAACGAGTAAAGACAGGGCCTATTTGGGAGAAAAGGTTGGAAATGGCTGCAGCAGCCAGGCACGTCACCTGGCTGTGTACTGGTCAGCAACCCAGAGGCAGCAGCTTTGTCTTATTTATTTATTTATTTATTTATTTATTTATTTTTTTTTTTTTTATTTTCCAAATCAAAGACCCAGCATGGCTCTGATGCTTCTTTTTTAAACCTCGGGAAATGACTGACAGACATCTGGGTAGCCTAGAACTTCACCTTCTAAGCTTGTTAGGTGTCTTGGAATACCGCCACTGAGATGTAGAGAGGCGAGGAGCTCACCGAGCTGCCACCTTTCCTTCTTGGCCTCGGGCAGTCAGCTCTATGAACCAAAACTCTCTGGCTGAGGGAGGCGTGCGGGATTCCAATCTCGCCTGAGGGCGCTCCCCGGGGCGGGGTGGGGGCGCCTTCGGGAGGATTCAGCGTTCCCTTCCCACGACAGGAGGCGCTGTGCTCGCGGGCATTCCTCGGGCCGCGGACCCGGGAACCCCCAAGCTGGATCAAGGCTCTAAAGCTGGCAGAGGCCACTCTTCACCATCGATCTTGGGCTTTGAAGAAGCCCTTAGAGAAACTTCGCTTTGGCTATCCCCTATGAAAAGTGGGCGCTTGTTCCCCCTTAAACTGATTTTTTGTTTTTAAGATGAGGCCTAGTAGGTTTGAGATGTGGGCTGAAAGGAAGAATATTTTATATTCTAATTGACCCCCTTTACGGTTACAGCGTTTTGTTTGGTTTGTTTTTCCCTTAAAGCACCGGCTTTTTGTGCACCATAAAAGCTATTACTAAGTTGTTATTACCCATAGAAAATACCCTAGTCATGCTCAATGTGGTTGAAGAGCCAAGAGGGCGTTGGAGAATCACCGCGGGGAGGAACAAGGAAGCTCATTAGCACTGAAAGTCCCCCCTCCCCCCATCTGGCTGAGGAGCCTAAGCATTCGTGTACTTTCCAAATGAGACTAAGGTCCTGCTGCTGATGGGAACTTTGCACGAAAGAATTAGTTTCTGACTGTCGCCCTGAGAAATATGTGCAGACCCACACGTGCAGATACATTCACACAAACTGATAGGACTGACTTGCAGTCACAGGGACAGGCTGCAGTTGGGGAGGGCTCCTGCTCTATGGAGTTCCAGGTGGATTTAATTTCACCCTCATTTCTTTTCTTACAATGTAACGTTTCTCCCCCCACCTTTTTTTGTTAAAAAAAAAAAAAAGGAATTGAATCCAAAGCTTTTATCTTTTTTATTTCCTTAACTGCACATCTTCACCCTCTCGTGCTCCCCTGCTGATTTAAGAGATTTGTTTGGTTCAAGGATTTAACGTGATTCTCTTGCCAGATTTCAAGGAAGAAAGATTTAAAAGAACAAAGCTGGGGGGGGGAAGGTATCTGTTTGGAAGACAAGTTAAAACACATTTCTTAAAATGAGATTAATAACAGTTTAAAACTTTGCCAAACAAGAATATTTTGCGGATTCTTAGTCCTTTTAGAAAGACTTTATTTTATTGCTACTTAAGGAAACCTAGTGGTTCTCTGAAAGTACAACACATACATGGTCACACACACACACACTCAGAAACTCACACAGGCACCAAGGTGCAACCTCTCACCAACTCAGTGCTTATCACCCAGTCACTTTAGTTGGTCCTCCCCAGGACTTGTGGGCAATCCACTACCCAGAGCCTCATAGGAGCCAAGAGGCTTTGCTTGGAGGAGCACTTCCCACCGATGTCCAGGACTGATTAGAAACCAAGCGAACACCGGGGGTCCCAGCCTGGCCACTCTAGATCAGAGATGGGACCAGGCACCGCCGTCACCACCGCTGGCTTCGGCCTGGCACCTCTCTAGCCGAGCAGATGCATTCCCGTGCCCAGGCTCTCCCAGTGCGTATTTAGGGAGATGTCCCCTCCCCCTGACCTTTCCCTATCAGAAACCAGACTGTCGCCTCCAGCTCAGTCCCCGAGGCTGCGGAAGGGGGGCGGGAGGAGGAGCTGGGCAGAGGGAGGACGGCCCGACTCCGGTCCGCCTGCCCTATCACACAGACATCTGTTCTCAGTTTCTTCCTCTTTATGATCGCTACAGATGACAAGGGGTAGTAGAGCGGACCGAGGCGGAAAAAAAAAAGTTATGTCATAAAGATATAAAACGGTGCTGTGACTCACCTGCTGTTAGCCGCAGGTACGGGTTTCGTGGCAGCGTCTCCACTCTGCAAGCCAGGAACCCGGATCGCCCTAACGTCACTCAGCTCGGCTAAGACGGCCGAGTTTCTAGTGACGGGGCAAAAGTGGGGCTTTTTCCTTTATCAAGCCTGAAGGCCGGGGCGGGGGCGGGGGCGGGGGAGTGGTGGAGGGAGTCTGTATTTTCCAGTCTCCCGCGGTTGAACTTTAGGTCAGGAATCAGAAGGGCGGGGGCTGGAAGCTGGCAGAAGAGTAGGAGGCAGGAGGGGCGCGGGACGAGGCCGCCGCAAGGGCCTCCGAAGGGTCGTGGGTCCCCCTGGGGAGACCCTGGGGTCATGTAGCCGCACTTCCCCGCGAGCCCGGCCTCCAACGCCACCGCCCGCAGCCCTTCTCCGGCTGCGACTTTCTCATCCAGAACCCTCGCTAGACCGCCCGGCCCCGCCTATTTTTCTTTTTTCCTCTTCCAGAGGGGGTCACACACACACACACACACACACACACACACACACACACACACACACACACACACACACACACACACA